GGTCCGGTTGGGTCGGGTCGGGTCGCGCCGGGCCAGTCCCGCTAGTCACCACGCTCCGCTCTGCACCAGGCTGTGAATGCGGCGGCCGCCGCCTCCAGCCTTTTATAGGCCGGTCTGGCCACGCCCACAGCAGTACCAGCCAATGGCGGGGGCTCCGCGAGGTACCCCACGGTACATGGAGGCAACTCCGGGCCAGCCACCTCCCTCCGCTGCTGGCCAATAAGCGCTTCCGTCTCTTCTCTTGCTACACGCTTGGCCAATCAACGCCCACCTCGCACTAGCCATGGCTGTGACGACAGAAGCCAGGTGGGGACTCTTCAGCATCCGTAGTCGCTGCTGGTGGCAGCTCCGTGCACATGTAGGAGCCGCGCTGCGGCCGGGCGGTCCCGGGTCGCCGATGGAAAGCGCTGCTACCCAGTATCGTCTGCACAGCCGCGTGCGGTACAGGATCCAGGCTGCAGCCCTCAGTGACACAGGGCGGCTGATCTCCCCAGCCGCAGGTTTCCTTTGCCCCCACCCCAAGTCACAGCGCTACCAACCACCGCACCCTAGAGAATTCTGCGCAGAGAAATTCAAAGTTATGCAAAATTATTATTATTTTTTTTTTTACAAATTAAGCTCAATGTAATGCTAATTGAACCTTCTTTAGAAATATATGGAGGTACTTGTGTTGGGGGGATCTGATGGAGGGGTAGGTGTTGGGTGAGCATGTGGGGGGCAGGGTTGTGAATGTGTGGTGAGATGTGGGTGAGGGGAGATTGTGAAAGGGTGCTGGGGGTGTGGGCTGCCCGCTGCCACACCCCCATATCCCCCCCTTTCCCCTCCCCTCCCCTGCACACAGCCCCCACATCACCACACACCTCCCTGGCATAGCCCCTGCTACCAGCAGGCCTTCTGGGCAGTCCTGTCTGCAGCAGGCACAGTCCTCAGTGGGGCACAAATTCTGGGTGCTGCATGTGGCAGCACAGACTTAGCCTGGTATCTTATTTGGGGACATGTCATATGGGAGACAATACTGTGTTAACCATCAGTCTTGCGTTAAATAGCGATATATCAGGCTCTCCACCAGCTGTGACAGAACAGGGAAACAGCAAGTGCGTCCAAAGACATTTTCTTACCCCTCCCACCATCCAACCCAGCCTTGTTTCCCAACCTCCCAACCCTCATTAACTTTCTGCATTCAAAAAAGCAATGTCCTTCCCCTACTCCCTCCCATCCACCCCCACTCTTCTGCCAAGTTCTGCTTGGAGTCTTCAGCAGAAGACAGGGTTTTCAAGATGCATCTTCAGAAGGCATAGGGGAGCCCCCGATGCACTTGTTTCCTGTAGCAATACTAGTTTGCCCAAAGACAAAGCCAGGTCACCTGAATACACTTGACAGGTGACTCCTCCTTTCTCTGCTCCTCCCCATACCACGTGCTTCCATGGATATGGTACAATCAAATGTCTACATTATGAGAAGTAGCCGGCATACAAAAACTAGACAGATCATACGCACCCAAACCTGAGTTAGCTTTACCCAGTCAGTGACAACTTTAGCCTTGCACATGGGTGAGGGCACACCAGTTTCAAATGTACTCAGAATACTTTACCCAAAACCCCAGCTTGTTTTAGCTGATTGGTCCACTACTGCTTTGCCACTTTGTTGAGCTAGGCATATGGATCACCTCTGACCTGGACTGCTCCATATTCAGTGACAAGGCATGATGTAGAAGATGAGAAACTAAATGCTTTTTGGTCCAGCTCACGCCTGTCTGTTGCTCTGTCTACACACTACTACTCTGCAGATATTCATCCCCACTCTTGCTGCCTCCTGGGTGGGAGGTCAGCTGCAGAGCCCCCAGTATCAGTGGCCAGCACCACTTTGAGCTTCATGTATATCCTGGGAACTGACCTTGCTCCACACCTTTGAAATTGAAAGGAACTTGCTGTCCTGTACAGCTGTCCCTGTATTCTGTCTTTGCTGTGGGCCACAATACCTGGTATAAAAGAAAAAAAAATGTACTGATGTACTCTGATGCCTACCAGGAAGGGGAAGAATACTTGGTGCTACCAAGCTTCCACCCAGGTCCTGGTTTGACATTGTGGAGACTCCAGCTTGCAGGTTCTTTACAGTGACAGCCGGGGGGGTGGGGGACTGCCTGCGATGCCAGCTGTGCCTCCTGGTGGTATCCCTCAAGAAGCAGACGAGAAAGCCATAGGAGGAGGTGGCAAGGCT